AGCAGACCTAAGTTTGGTTCAGTAACACTACTGAACAGAAAACACCTAAACTTAAACCAAGGTCTGAGTGACACGAAAACCTGAGTTCTTAATAATTATGCAAACTTCTCTCTGCACAGTTCTTCCCTTATGAATAAAAAATGTATTTATAATATATTACCATATGTAGATATGCACTCATTCATTCTACATACATCTATTGAGCATATGTGCCAAACACTGTTCTAGGTATTTCCTTCACATTAGTAAATCAAATGGAACAACAAATCCCTGCCCTTGTGGTGCTTATATTCTAGGACAACATGGACAATAAACGTAATAAGTAAGTAAATTATACAGTTATGTTAGAAGATGAACATGTGCTCTGGGGGAAAAGAGCAGATGAAGTGATTGGAAGTATCAGTTTTATACAGATTAGGCCTCACTGAGGAGGTAAATTTGGGGCAAAGACTTCAAGGAAGTGGAGCCAGAGCCACACAGATATCTGTGGAGGGGATGGTGGTGGTGGTAGGGAGAATAGCAGGAAGTGAGGTCAGAGAAATACAAGAGCAGTAGAGTGAGGGTGGGGGGGGGGGGGTTGATAGACTACTTTTAAGAACTTTGGCTTTTGAGTGAAGGGGAAACCACCCTCCTTCTCCCACCAAATCTTGGCTAATTGAGATATGTTTCCCTAAATAAATCTTAAAAGGGCAGGATGTAGTTTTTTAAGCGTAGAAAGAGTGAAACTATGTATCCCTGATTCTACCTTTTTAGCAATATTCTTTGGAGGAAGGAATTGCCAAGTATAAAAATGGGTTAGAAACGAAGAAAAAAAGTTTACACACACAAGGAAACATCTTGGGGAGTTACTTTACACAAAAATATAGGGTTGTAAGTGATTTTCTTACAATCAGTCCACATGGTTACTCCTTCAATCTATTAAGTTAGGGTTAAAAATAACAGTAAAAATTCCATATTTTTCACAGAAAATCACTATGGATATGGAGGTTTTTTTAAAAAAATATTATTGTGCATTTTACATGATCACATCATGTAAAATGTGTAGATGAGCAAGATCACTGAATAAACAATTACCTTTTTTCCCCCTGAGTAAGCAAATGCACAATAATGTAACTTCAGAACTTTTCTTGATCTTAGTAAATATAACTCTGTCTTCTGAAGCAATGCTATCTTTAATTATAACTTATTTGTGAATTGTTAGAAAATAATGACAATCAATTCAGGGTTTCTAAGCTCTACGAATATTAATCAAAATTTCCTCTAACAAAGAGGCAATCTCTGGGAACAGCTTCAGAGTAAAATAATACTCTCTATTCACAATAAGGTCAGATGGAGTTTACTCAGTAGCCCTGATATCTTCTTTTCAAAAGACACACAATGAACTCAAATAGGAAAATTGATGGATGAGTCCTTTCAGATGTAAGGTAATTACAATTTGTTCATAATGTAATGCAGTGTCTCAACTATGTGTTATCACTTTAATATAAAACTACTATATGATGTGTTTATGACAATGGAATGGAAAACCCATCAGTATTAACTTCTTAGGACTATCTGCATCTCTTTTTCACATTTTATGACTACTGCTTGAAGGTCTTAGATTAGCTATAAGAAGAATTTCTGACAGTGAAGGTACTAAAAATGAGTTACTAACAAAGGTTACGAAAGCATCTTAAAGACCTTTCAGGAAAGACCTGAATGTTTACCCTCAGGGATGATTTGCTATTGTCCTACATGAAAGCAGAAATAGAAAGCAGAAAACTCTTCAGGCCCCCCATGATTCTTTACACTAAAAAGGCTTTTATCCCCCCCTTTTTTCCCCTAGAATAATGGTTCTCTATAACCATGCCCCTGTCTTCTGCTACGTATGAAATTTCATATTTGCTATGACGTTAGAAATAAATATTCTATTTGCTTTCATTATCATCAAAATAATGTTACAGTGTTGATTAAAAACTAAACTGTTTTAAAGCAAAATTCTCAAGGCCCTGCTGAAATTAGATGAAGAAATGGTATCATTTAATCAGCTATATGCTTAGATATGTATGTTTTGTTAATCTGTTACCTAGATGAGGGGTTTATCTTTCATGCAAAATGCAATCATATGCGTGCTTATGTCTGTAACTCCCTTGGAAATGCAACAAAATAATAACATGGGCTGATGGCTGAGTGGGTGGATAAATGTATGATTGAAAAAATACAGCAAAATGTTAAAACTGTAGAACCTAGGAGGTCACTGTATGGACACTTACTGTAAAATTGTGTTAACTTTTCTATATATTTGAAATTTTTAACGATAAATTGCTGGGGAAAATGCAATCATACTTGAAACCTGTTTTACGTGGCAAGGGAGAAACCAAATCACACAGAATAATTCTGCAAAAAAAGATGAGACCAGTTTTTGCCGCTTATATTGAGTTGAGGAGGAAAATGACTGCCATAACACCTTCATCAATCTACCTCCAGAAAAGTCATCCAAATTCACACTGCTATTGAGAAATGAAGGCAGGCAGAAAGCCTGGTTTGTTCAAGAATTCTATAGTGAAAGTAAGTTCCTTTAGCTGAATTTTGAAAAGTAAGACTTGAAATTATTTGTGTATCTAAAAATACAATATTTCTTTACCTACTCAGAATAACTTCATTTTCAATATAGATTTCCTGAAAGGAGATAAAGTATACCTTCCTTTGGATTACTAATTATTCTTTTTGTCAATGCCCTTTCCCTATGAAGCTGTTTGAAATCACTCAAAGAAAATAAAAACAAAAACATGTTAAAAAATGACCAGTAGATTGGAAAATTTACATACTAAATATGATATCATTTAATCAGCTATATGCCTAGGTATGTATGTTTTGTGCATATAAAGTATATATGATATGTGTCATAAGCCTTTCAACATAAATGACTTTCTAAAGTGTCATAAGCAAGGCATCTTTATGTTTGATAATTCTATCAATGATTTTTTGGTAGTCATCAAAAGCATATCACTCCCTGCATTTCGTAAAGACAGAAAAAGACATCATCTCAAAGAAATTGCTCAGCTAGTAGTGGATAATGACCTATTTAATAAAGATTTATTGAATACCTACCATGTGCCAGACACTGGGCTAAGGCTTAGGGATGAGAATATAAATAAAATACAGTCCCTGACTTCATGAAATTTACGGTTTGGTAAAGAAGATACACAATTACAAAACACTTATATTGACCAATAAGTATATGTGTGGAGTGTTACTGTAAGAAAAAGGAGATACCTAACCTAGCTGGGGGATCTCTGGGACTGCTTGCTGAGTTTAGTCTTAAAGAATGGGTAGCAGTGATTTAGGCAGGAGAAAATGGGAGAGGGTATTCTATGCTGAGGTGGCCGCCTGACTAAAGGCACAGAGCAGCATGTTGTGGGCACAGAACTGTACTGCTAGAGAAAAAGCTCATGGTATGTAATGGAGACAGATGAAGCTGTGGAGGTAGGCAGTTGTCATATCATGGATGATCTTGTGGGATATATAAAGGAACCTGGACTTTCTCTTGGCCTGATAAGGATTTAGAAGTGGAGTGACATTTTCAGATTGTATCTTAGCTAGATCTCCCTGGCTCCTGAGAGAAGGATGAATGTGAGGGAGACATGGTGACCAGCTGCAGGAGTGACATAATGAGGACCTGAATCAAGATTGTGATGGTAGGTATGGTTTCTACTAAGAAAGACCAGCAGATTGTCGGATTAAAATGTGAGGTGATTTCCAGGTGTCTGGATTGGATAAGAGTCAATAGATAACAAAGTCTTCCCATCAAAGTAGATAACACAGAAGGAAAAGCCAAGTTGAAAGCTGATGGATTCAGCTTTGGATGTGTTGGATTTGACATGCCTCTGGGTTATCTAGGTGATTTCCAGAAGGAAGTTAAATACATGGTGCTGAGGAGGAGGTCTGAATGGGAGGTTGAAATTTGAGTCAGCAAAACATAGAGATATTTGAAATCGTGAGACTGAATATTCAGGATTTTGTTTTTGTTTTTGATTTTAGCCATTCTAATAGGTGTGTAGTAGTAGCTCATGGTGGTTTTATTTTTTATTTCCCTAATGATGTTTTGCATCTTTTCAAATGTTTATTTGCTATTCATATAACTTCTCTGGGGATGTGTCTGCTCATAATATTTCCCCATTTAAAAAATTAATTTGTTTTCTTATTATTGTGTTTTGAGAGTTCTTTGTATGTTCTCAATATAAGTCTTCTACCAGATATACGCTTTGCAAATATTTTCTCCCTGTGTGTGGTTTCAGTGTTTTCTGAAGACCATAGTTTTTATTTTGTTTAAGTATAATTTTTTCATTTTATCTTCTCTGCATCATGCTTTTGGTGTTGCACCTAAGAAATCTTTGCCTAAGTAAGGTCACAAATATTTTCTCCTGTTTTCCTTTGGAAGTTTCAAGTTTTTCACTTACATCTATGAGACATTTTGAGTTTATTTTTGTTTATTGAGGAATGGATTGATATAATGTGAGTGGATGGAACCAACCACTAAGAGTGTACACAATAAGAAGGCCAAAAGGTGGATGAAATTCGGGGAGAAAAGATAAGCCTAGGCTAAAGGAAGTAGAGTTGAGCAAAAAAGACACAAGGCATTGTCAGAGAAGCACAAGGAAAACTCTGAATAATCAACACTGTCTACTAAGATAAGCCATGGAACTTGTCTTCTGAACTTGGATGAGGTCATTAGTGACCTTAGGAAGAGCATATTCAGTCAAAACAAATCATTTCGACATTGGAACTTCATTTAACCAACCACTTTAAGAATTCCCCCTGTGGAAGCATTGGGACGAGGTCTGAAATGCCTGAGCATTCTTAAAGGTCACTTCTCGGGGCACAGGAGGGTTCTGGCCTTCCCGACACTGACGATGACTGAGACAGATTCCCGTCATGCCCCTTGGGGCACTCCAGAATGAGGTCTTGGGGACAAGCCCAAGGAATCACCGCCCCGCTGGGAAATCTGAACTAACACTCACCAACGGGTTCGCCAAGCTGGCAGCTCACGAGGAAGGCAGCTGGTGAAACTACGGCCGAATGAAAAGGCGAGGATGGGAACGTGCGCACTTGGGCAATCCCAGGGCAGACTAGGGAAACCCCTTCCACCCGCCACCTCCTAGTGCGTCTGCAGGAGGAGAGGGGGAGGGCGTGGGGCTCCTCGGGCCAACTTCGCCGCCGGCTCTCCTCGCGGGCGGAGAGCTCCGGCACTTAGCCGGTCCCAGGCTGGGGGCTTAAACATAGGGAGTCGCGGGCAGGCCTCGTCCGTTCCCAAAGATCATGCTGTGGGCACTGGTCAGACTCCCTCCGACTTGCTGACCTTTCGCCTCTCCGCCCCAGCAGCCTGGGTATCATTCTTAGTCGCGGTGGGACAAGGTCGCCCAGCCAGCTGCCAGAACGACCCATCACTTCCAGTTAGTCGTAAAGTGCCGCAAAGCGCAGCGCCGGCGCTTTGCGGCACCGTAGGTGAGGTGGCAGCGTGGATCCTCGCTCCGCGCAATTCCTCCGGGTGGGCAGCTTCTTCTGGGAAACCGCGGCAGATAGGAGTTTGGGGAGGACGGTGACCCAGCTACGATTCTCTCAAAGGGTAATTGATCCTAGGTTTGTGTAACAAGAGAGAAAGTGGGTAGGGTTGTTTATAAACAGTACAGTCCTTATTTAAAAGCCTTGAAGTAAGGTTCTTAAACCTCCCTCCTTGTGACATGCCGTCCCTCCTCGTGCTATTTTGGTTTTCGTCTAAGTGTTCATCACTAGATTTTAGGCATCCTCCATGTAGCTGACACTTGATTTTCTTATTCATTTCGTCCTGCAGTCGCCCTCCCCCTGGACTTTGAAATGCTTTACATGATCGGTTTGGGCCTGGGAGATGCCAAGGACATCACAGTCAAGGGGCTGGAAGTTCTAAGACGCTGCAGTCGAGTGTATCTGGAAGCCTATACCTCAGTCCTGACTGTAGGGAAGGAAGTTCTGGTAGGTGCTTAAGGCTTTCCAGCCTCCTGGGAAGAACGATATTTAACAGCTGATTTTTATTACACCAAGCTGAGCCGAATTTTTCAGGTCTGTTGGTTCAAATCCTTTAAAACACATGCCCTGCTTATTATTAAGAATCTGAGGAGTACAAGAATGGAAATAACACACTAACCAAGTGACTTGTAAAATGAAAGGGTGCTTTTTCTTACTTTACAAGTCTAATTGTGTAGCTTTCTCCATTAAATAGGAAAGTTATTTTACACTCCTGGGGATAATTATCAGAATCCCTATTTCATGAGATAGACAAGAAATCCTTTCTGACACAGCCTTAATGAGTTGGTAATGTATTCAGGAACCAAGCTGAAAACCTCCCCCCTTTGAAGTATTTCCATAGGGAATGGTAATCGCCGTTCTGTCTGTATCATATCCAGAGAGATCTAACCTTTGAATAGACATCTCCCAGTAAGGCTTATACCTATACACTTGGATGTGTTGAGTGAGACTGGAACTTAGTAACCGTAGAATTTGCTAGTATATCATACATTTACCTGGCTTTGGTTAAGGGCTCAGTAAATTTTGGAGGAGGGGTCAAATTCAGGTTCATTGTCAAATTTCAAATACAATGTAAATTAAGATGATAAGATTGATGGACATGTTATAGGAGGAGGGACAACATTTTAGGATTGTCTGGTCTATCAAGTCTTCCAGAGAAAAAGGTGACCTAGAGAATTTCAGGTCTTCTGGCCTCTCAGATTCACAGCCCAGAGAATTCTGAAGGTCTCAGAGTTTCTTTAAAATCTTAAAGAAGGGCTGCTACTTGATTGGCCATGCGTTGAAATAAAAGTTGTGTCTAATGAACAGCTTTGATTTGTTGGCTCCAGTTTATTAATATCCAAGCTCAAGATGATAGAAATGTTCCTCTCTAATTAGTGATAAAGGGCAATTAGAATGAACTTAAAATCTTTTTAGAGAATATAGACAAATCAGTAGTTTTATAGAATTGGACGTGGTTTTATGTCTTTGCTCTGTCACATGTTAACATGTGACCTTGGACAAGCCCTTTAACTAGTTTCTTACTTTGTAAAAAGAGGACAGAAATGCCTACCTTATAGGATTTTAGCATAGCGTCTGGCACAAAAGCGTTCAGAAAACATGAGTTGTTAACAGATACATTTCCAAACGTCTCTAAACCTCAGTTTCTTCATTTGTCAAATGGAGATAATAATCAGTTGGAAGGCTATTAAGAGTGTATCATTTATTAAGATGATGTATTTGAAAGTGCTTTGCAAATTTAAGTGCTAGCTAAATGTTAATTTCGGCTGCTATGTTTTTTTTAGGTATTATTTTTTTTTTTCCAAAAACATATTTGTAGAGTTACTACATACAGGGTCAAGATCTGGGGCTGAGCTCAACCTCACAGGTAAATTATATGTACTTTGTTAAGGTACTAGAATTCTATTCCTCAACAATAAAAAGTGCTAATATTTTTAGAACACTTATTATGCACTGTTTTAAACACTTTACATGTAGAACAGGATTATTACTCTTTAATTACTGTTCGCAGTTTTAGAGGCACAGAGAAACTTGTCCAGGGTCATACAGATAGTGAATGATAGAGCCAGAATATGGGCCAAAGCAGTCCTCAGTTGAGATCCACCACTTTTGACCATACTGTGTCTCTGTACTCTTAGGGATAGATAATAGCTTCACAAAATATAACGTCACAGAACACCTACAGAGAAGTTAGAATTCAAGTAAAGTGGTCAATCCTGGATCCCCCCCGTCACAAAATTCTACTGATCTGCTCTCCGTGAGCCCCTCTGGGTCCTCAATTCATGTTCTTCCCTGAACAACTTTCCATACATCAGCCACCTTAAATGAATCCTTTCTGGAATAAAGTAAGGTATGAATAAATACAATCATGCCTTATATTGCCCAGTAAAATTTTAGAACCACTTTATCTTCAGCCACTTTCTTCCTTTAATTTCTACCTTTTCTTTCTTTTTTAAACAAATTACTTAAAAAGTTGTTAAGATGTGATCGTACAATCTTGTCTCAATAACTCTAGATAGTTATTATACAGTGAAAAAAAGATGGGAAAATTCTGTTTTCTGCAATGAATATATGCTTCCTTTTATCACTAATTACACATAATAATTGTTTTTTAAAAAGGGCCACATGGATGTTGCTAAAGAAATCTAGAATTTATCTGTTCTTACATTGAAAGCTATTATTTTCAAATTGCCAGATGGGTAGTATCGTTTATATATTCCCTATTATTCAGAAGTTAATTAAACTAGAGACAGTGAATCCAGGAAAGACTTTTAGTTTTGGTATATACAGTTTGGATTTCTTTAGGCACTTTCTGTGGCTAAATTATTATCTTATGTGCTGATTTGATATAACGCACCTATATACGTTATACAACGAGATATAAGCTATGATCTTTGTTCTTAAGTGGGTCATGATTCATCTGTGTTTACCCAGGAAAACTTAAACAATACTGGAAGATGTAAATAACAATTCATGACAGTAGTGGAAGAGAGAAACTATAAAATTATATTGCTGACAAGAACTTGATTATTTTATTTAAGCCAACACTTTTTCACCAATTAAGTAGTAGAAGCTATCTCAAATAGCTACTAGGTATTAATTACAATTGAGGTACATGTAAGAGAGAAGGTCACTTCAGGCTGTGCTGGTCAGGGAATACTATGGAACAGATGGAATTTGAGCTATGTTTTCAAACGACACATCTCAATTGTTTTATTTTTGTTTTGTTTCTTTTGTTTAAATCATGGTCCAAATACAAAATGGTAATATTTGTATAGTTCTTCAGGATAAATGGAGGAAGCTGCTCATGGCCTGCGAGGACTAACTTTGGGGCCCTAGCTACCCTGCATAAAGCAGAGATCATTCATCTCTGCTTGTCTATGCCCCATTTGCAGTTCTGTGAAGTCCTGCAGTCAACTATTGTTCTGTGTCCTTGGGCAGTCATTTAAATTTTCTTTGCTCTTTTTCTTATCTGTAAAACAGGAATAAAAATAGTGCCTATGTCATAAATTGTGGTAAAGATTAAACGAATTCATATGCACAAGTTCTTAGAAGAGTGCCTGACCACAGAGTAAGCCCATTGTAAATGTATTATTACAGATATTGTTATTATAGATGATATTTGATAAGGGGAAGAGCAAGAGACAGTTATTACTATAGAAAAGATTTGGTAAGGGGAAGAGAAAGAACATTCCTTACTGAAGAAAAAATAATAGTGAGCAAAAGCAGGGAGGAGAAAAACAAATATTTCCTATAACTTGTCCTTGGGCAACACCAAAATAACTTTCATTTTCCTCTGGTGTATCTTTTCCCTCTTTTTTTCCTTCCAGTTTTATTGAGATATAATTGATATACAGCACTGTAAAAGTTTAAAGTGTATAAGTGACATAATGATTTGACTTTCTCACATCATGAAATGATTACAATAACTTTAGTGAACATTCATCATGTCATATAGATACAAAGTAAAAGAAAAAGAATTGTTTTCCTTGTGATGAGAACTCTTCGGATTTACTCTCTTAACAACTTTCATACGTAGAGTACGGCAGTGTTAATTATATTTATCATTGTTCCTTCTCCTTTCTTCCTAACATACTTCACCTCGGTATATCAGCCAACTCTGTTTCCTTGTCCTCCTATCTAACTGCTGTGGATTGAGATTGGAGGGATAGGAGAGAACAGTAAAGAACTTTGCATTGAGAAAAATGAGGCCATCATCTATGACCTTTATTAGCTTCCTATTTATCCGTACCCTAAATCTGAATCTGTCCTCCCTCCAGTCTTAGAAAATGACTTGTAAGATGAGGTTCTCTTCCTGTTCAAGTCTAATGCCATCTAGATGGGTTTTCTTTCAAACTTCTTCTCTCCATTCCTTTGGAACCTTTCTCCTGTCAATTATTCTTTCTTCTTTATGTTCGATCTATATTAATATCCTTTTGTCCTCTCAAGGGTCAAATACAGTTGACCCTTGAACAACTTGAGTTTGAACTGCACAGATCCACTTATATTTGGGGTTTTTTTTCCATAGTAAATACTACTGTACTACTTGATTCGAGGTTGGTTGAATCCATGGTTATGGAGGAATCACGGATATGGAGGGCTGACTATAGGTTATACTCAGATTTTTGACTTTTTGAAGGGTCAGCACCCCTAACCCCTGCATTCTTCAAGGATCAAGTGTATTGTCCATTCCGAAAACTCTCCTTTTTTAAACCTCTTTTCCCCATAGTTATTATTCTGTTTCTCTCTCCTTTTTCCAAAGCTTTTTGAAAAAGCAGTATACTTCTCTTGTCCCCCCACGTCCCCTTATGTCTCAAGACTCCTACAAGCTGAATTCCATTTCTCTGAAATACTTCTCTGTTTATTGAACAATTATTTAGTACCTGAGAACTCCAGAGGA